TACAAGACTCCATCCTTGGCCCTCAAACTCGGCCATAGCCTCAGAAAGCTAGCAGATATTCTTGAATGTGACTCAAAAATGGAGCATTGTGTTGATGAACTATTTATTAAAAACCTCCAACGAAGCCGGCTGCTTTTTGAGAAGAGGTGGGACGTCTGTGTTTCTTCTGCTGCCCTACAGACCCTCCGGCAAGCCAAGTGGAACACTCCGGACCTGCTCCCTCTGACTGAGGACGTTAGAGCCATGCATGCACATATTGAGGTATGTCGACCTGAATATGTGCAAACCCTAATAAGTGAGCCAACGTCTAAGCATTGGTCTAAACTGGCAGTTTTGACTCTTTGTGAGGTCATCATTTTCAATCGAAGAAGGGAAGGTGAGGTTTCAAAGATGCCACTGACAGCCTTTACCTTAAGAAGTAAGACTGGGATCCATTCTGACATTGCTCTGGGACTGTCCCAACTTGAGAAAAAGCTGTGTCAGCATTTTCAACGCATTGAAATTAAAGGGAAAAGAAGTCGGAAAGTGCCGGTTCTTTTGACTCCTGAAATGATTGCTTCGATGGAGGTGCTGGTGGAGAACAGAAGGGCCTGTTCCATCTCTGACCATAACCCATACTTCTTTTCCCGCCCGGGCGCAGACACCCACATCAGGGGATCAGACTCCCTACGCCAGGTAGCCAAAGAATGTGGTGCGGTGCATCCAGAGATGCTATCCTCAACCAAACTTAGAAAGCACATAGCTACTATGTCTACAGTTCTCAATATGAAAGAGAATGAGATGGACATACTTGCCAACTTCCTCGGCCATGACATTCGCATCCACAGGCAATATTACAGACTACCAGAGGGGACACTGGAGCTGGCCAAAATCAGCAAAGTGTTGATGGCCATGGAGCAGGGAAGAGTGACGGAATTCGAAGGAAAGAGCCTCGACCAGATACAAATTGAGCCTGAAGGTAATTCTTGATATTATTAAAATATGTATGATTTTTTTCCCCTAAAGGCCACTTGTATTTTT